TGTTGCCTGTCCTAAGTAGGGAGGGCCAGCCGCGGCAGCGTTTGTGCTGTGTTATGTTTGATAAGTAGGCAAGAGATGACTTGTAGGGGAGGAGGTGTGTAGGTCATACACAGCTAAACCATTTCACATGAGAGTTGTGCGTCCTTGAATCTTGCCGTCCCTGGGGTGTGCCGGAACCAGTCCTCTGCGGAGACTCAGGAATGACTGTACATTCAGCTGTTCTGATGCCTTTTGTTGAAAAGGCCCTTTTTCCTCATTTAATTACTTGGCATGTTGGACCTGAGACCATCTGGACTCTGTCTTCTGTGCTGTGCGTTGTTTTGTTTGTGTTCCCGCCTCAGACTGCTGGATTCTTCAGCCACATCCTGAGTCTCGCAGTGAGTGGGGCCAGCTCACGAGCCCCCAGCTCTTCTGCTGCTAGGCGTCACTGTAAATTCACTCCGGAGTCACCTGGCACGTGGTTAGCCCTCCGTCTAGCCGATACCATACGCCGTTCAGAAGCTTAAAATGCAATTTTTAATGACATAAATCCTTTACGGTATGTTATGAAATCTTTTATTTACAACGTTTTAATAAAATAGAATCCAGACACCTGTTGAGCCCGCAGTCACTCCAGCACCAGTGTGGAGACTCCGGGAGGCAGGGCCGAGAGACGAGGTGGGCCAGCTGCAGAGCGTGCTGTGTGGAGAAGATGCCTCGGAGCCGGCCCTGTGGAGAGCACCCGCCACAGCCACAGCACGCCACGGAGCCAGAGGCCTCCCGTGCCCACGGGGCGCACGCCCGCTTCACCCCACACCCAGGTACTCACACACGTCTCAGTCTGTTTGCTGCTGCTGTAACAAGAAGCTGCAGACTGGTGATTGACAAAGAACAGAGCGTATACGGCTCATGGCTCTGGAGACTGGGAAGTCCAAGAGCACAGCACCGGCATCTGGTGCTGGCCATCCCGGGGCGCAGGCGGAGCAAGCTGGAGAGAGAGTGGTGGAGAGAAACTCATCCTTGATCAGGAGCCCCGCCCTGCGATACAGCATTCCTCCCTCCCTGAGGGCTGGCCCTGCGGCCTCTTCACCCCTGAAAGGCCCCTCTTAATACCCTTACAATGGCCATATGTTTCCGTCTTAGGAACTTTGGGGATTCCTTCAAACCACCGCAGCATGAAACCCGTCGACCCTTATTCCCTTCCATTCCTTTTTAAGTAGTTACATATTTTTCACAGGGTTTGCTTTCACTATGAAATTTCTGTTCTCTTTACATTTATTTATTTGTTTGTGGAAGTCTCTAAAATGTCTTTGGAAAGAATACAGCACACTGAAATTTATCATCCATTCATGTTTTAGATTCAGGGTCGGTGAGTAGTCAGTTGCTTTTTCTTTGCACGTGTGTGTGGCTTCCTCCCTTTCTCCACCCTCGCCCCTCCCACTCACACACACACTTTCTTTTAAGTGTATGGGCCCAGGTTATGGCAGTAGCTACATTTTGAAAACCAAGCTGAGAAAAGTTAACCGAGAGCGTCACGTGCTTTCTTGTGATGCTCATCTATGTGGTGTGAGCATCAGGAAACCTCCCACCATGAGCAGGCCCGGCGTGGTGGTTCACGCCTGTAATCTCAGCACTTTGGGAGGCCGAGGCAGGTGGGATCATTGGAGGTCAGGAGTTGGAGACCAGCCTGGCCAATATGGTGAAACCACATCTCTACTAAAAATACAAAAATTAGCCGGGCATGGTGGCACATACCTGTAATCCCAGCTACTCGGGAGGCTAAGGCATGAGAATCGCTTGAGCCTGGGAAGTGGAGATTGCAGTGAGCCGAGATCCCACCACCACACTCCAGCCTCCGCTACACTCCAGCCTGGGCAACAGCAAGACTCCAACTCAAAAAAAAAAAAAAAGAAACCTCGTCTTGAGTGAGCCTAGCACCTTCTGGAAGCTTGCTTATGCCCAGCTGGTGAGAGGCAGGGCAACTGGGTGGAGGGGGACCTAGCCAGGTTGTGTGTTGGCCACTGTGGGATGTGGTCCTGAGCTGACCCTGCACATTTTGTGCCTTCTCCTGCCTTCACTGTCCTTCCCTAGACAAGCTGGCCCTTCCCTGGGCCTTGTGTGTCCGGGGGTTTAGTGATTGGCACGGTGCATGGGACCCACCACCTCGTGGACCGTCAGAACCTGTCACTTCACCTGCCATCAGAGATGGATGTGTGCTTAGACGTTGTCTGGAGCTCTTTGTTGACGTGTGTTGCACGCTGGTCATCCTGGGGTGAACACGCCAAGCTGTGGCAGTCCGTGTCTGCGTCATCCAGATGCCCCCAGAGTTTCCGTGTTAGCGCGTGTGCCCGTGTGCCCTTTCCTCCTTCGGTGCCCGCCCTCTGCATGTGTCTTTGTGCAAGTATGCATGTACATGTGTAAGTGTGCATGTGTGCCTGTATGCATATATACAAGGGAACACGCATACCTTTCAAAAGTTACAGTGTTGAACCCTGCACCTGGAGAATTTGGCCTGACGTGGGCCCCGTCCTCTCTGTATTGCAGACTCTGTGGATATTGAGGACTCGGCCTCTTCTCAGAAGTTGGATTTGTCAGCAGAAATGGCGCCCAGTCCACTGCCTGCCCCCGGAATGTACAGGAAGCAAAGAATGCCTGGTGGAAGATTCCAGGCGTTTTCAGAACAGAAGTGTCTGGGCTGCCTGGAGGGGACTCATGGGTCCTGCGAGCCTGAGGAGAGCCTGAGCAGACAGAACAGCTCAGAAGGCAGGAGTGGGAGGACCTTATCTCAGTCCGAGGCCTTGGAGACTGAGGAGCAGAGGTCTGGGGGCGTGAACGATGCTGGAGAGGTAAGGGAAGGGCTGGGGAGTAGCAGGCCACTGCACGCCTTCCTCACGTGGGGCTTGGTTTCGGCAGTGCCGTGACTTACGCCTATGACACTGACCGTGTCCTGGAATAGAGGGAACTGTTACGTGTAGGTTTCCAGGGTGCTTGTTGCTGCGCCTTGTTAGATGTGTGCCTCTGTGCCGTGTACTGCTCCCGCGGTGCCTTTCTGAGTGGAAGCCCCGTGGCAGAGAGAGGGGACTCTGCCTTATGGTGTGTGGGACGTTTGTCCCCAGAGTCGGAATCGGGCGTCTTGGCTGGCTTAGCCGTCGATGACCCTGTTGTGAGTGGGGAGGATCCTGGAGGCGGTTCTGATGAGAGACTGAGAGTCACTCCGCCATCAGGGTGGCCTAGAGGCCACGGGGACAACTGCCACAGGCCCAGTTGGAGCCATCGAGATGCATGGGCTGTGGACATGAGTGCAGACCACCCGGAGGAGAATGGACAGGGGCTGTTAACTTGGTGTTTGCCACTATGAGGGCCTTAAGACTCCCAGGCAGGCAGAAGGCCTGGAAAGTGTGGAATTTGGGGACCGGAGGGGAAGGCAGGGCTGGAGATGGAGGCGGCTCTCTAGCAGCTGCAGGTGGGGGGTCCAGAGCTGGGTGGGGTGCCATTGACATCCCTGGCAGGTCCTGAGCTGGAAGGCAGGCAGATATGGGGGAGGTGGGTGGTCAGTCTCAGAGTTATGTCTGGCTCCTGGGCCATGGCTGGGGACAGCATCTAGCACCGTGCAAGCCTGATTGTCGGCCGAGGCTGCCACTTGGCCGTCCCTTTCAACACAGGCTCTGACCACGGCCTGGGCGTGTCTTCCACTTCACTGTCTGGGTTGACAGAAGCAGTCTGGGGCATGCTTGAGTTTGGGAACGTGTGGTTTCTATCCTGCCCTGTCATCCACACCTCACTCAGGCAGGTCCTGTCAGTCATCCAGACCTCACTCACCCAGGTCCTGTCAGTCATCCAGACCTC